TGTTCGGGCCGTTGGGGGCCGTTTTGGTTGCCGCATTTCACCGTGGCCGCTCTGGGCCAGGGAAGCGTGCATTTGCAGCTCCCTCGGGGGCGCCCTGGGCCGGGGCAGTGCGTATTTGCATTCCCCCCTAGCTGGGCATGTCGACATCGGTTCAGAGTTGGCAAAATCGGGGCGCCCTTGAGGTGGCGAGCGTTTACCTTTTTAAAATGCACAGATCAAGGTTTGATATGTGTGCACAGCTGGTGTCTTCAACTGTTTATTTTCGTGTGTGGGTCCACTGTTTACACAGATCGTGTTCTGATCTGTGTACGCAGATCTTGTGTCCATCTGTGTATTAGAAGTGTGCCCTTCGCGTGTGGTGTTGACTGGGCGGGAACTTTCACGTTTCTTTCTGGGCTGGTCCAGGGAGGGCGTCGTGCGCGGTCGAAATGCACAGCTCGTGTCTCCAACTGTGCACCTGTTGCGCGCCGCTCGCTGGAGTGGTCACTGGGTGTGAGTTTCCGCGGATCTCCCGGCTGGTCCAGGAAGGGGCCGCGGTCTGGGAGTGCAAAGGCGCGGGAGGGTTGGGATGGCGGGTTATGGGATGGAGGGGGTTCGATACGAGGGGTGGCGCCTGGGCGGGGATGAAAAACAAACATGACGAAAAGGGGAGAAATGGGCCTAGGAGGAGCTGGCTGCATCATCGGTGGCAGCGTCACCAGGACGAGGGAGGTGGGGGGGGCAGAAGGAGGGGGGATGACCTTCACTGGGGCGTAAAGGATGGGAAGAGGGCGGGCATGTGGACGATGGGGGAACTCATCCGGCGGAGGAGGACGACGAGGAACGACATGGGGGGTTGACGATGTGGGTGAGGGGCATGATGGGGGCTGGGGGTACTCGGGGGGGGGCATGAGGAGGGTGGGGCCGAAGCGAATGGATATTGGGATGAGGCGGGGGGATGAGGCGGGCGCCAGCTAACGCTTAGCTGGGCCGTGTTCTGCGTGTCCGTGCGCCCCAAAAAATGATTGATCGGTCGCTGAATTACATGATTTGTGATCTCGTGCGCGACGTGCTTCCAGGCCAAAAGCTCGAGTCCACGACGCTCGTTGGCATCGCGTTGATGCCGCCCCGCTGTGACAGACCGCATATGCACAGATCGGCAGCATCTGTGTTTCAACCTTTGATTCATGAACCTCTCTATAGTAGCGTGCCCATGTTGGAATCCACATTCTTGTGGCTATGCCTATGCCTACGCCTATATTTTTTTTTTTTTTTTTTTTTTTTTTTTTTTTTTTTTTTTTTTTTTTTTTTTTTTTTTCCAATGGCCCCCCTTTATGTATGCTTGCTTGCGCGCTAGTTTGCTTGCTTATGTGCTTGCTTGTTTGCTTGCTTACTTGCTTGCGCGCATGTGCGGTTGTTTGCTTGCTTGCGCGCTTGCTTTCACGCTTGATCGATTGCTGAGCTGTAGATCCCAAGCGTGTGCGATGCCTTTGTTTCCTTGAACCGAGTCATCGAATCCATTTGGATGGAGTCACCGCTGGCTGATAGTTGCTTATTGTTTAATTATGTATTGGCTACGTGTCATGTGTCTTTCCAAATCCCGCTGTAAAAAAGGACGTGCCCGACCTAAATTTGGGAGTGGTTGTCAGTTGGGTATCCCCGAGACGGCGGAGATGTGTCAGGTCTGGGGGTGCCTAAGATGCTCCTGGCCGAAGGTGTCCCGGCTTGTCGCGCCACTTGGACGCCCCCCGGGGCCTCGGGGCCTCGCGAGGGATGCTCGGGAGGCCCCGGGGGTTTCAATTGCAATCGTAAGTCGGGCTTGTCCCTCTACATGGGGGAATATTCGAACATAGTTTATACATAAGCAGGGGACATTTTTCTACATCAGTTCCAATTTTTTGGTGGTGACTGGGCGGGAACGTTCACGTTTCTTTCTGGGTTGGTCCAGGGAGGGCGTCGTGCGCGGTCGAAATGCACAGCTCGTGTCTCCAACTGTGCACCTGTTGCGCGCCGCTCGCTGGAGTGGTCACTGGGTGTGAGTTTCCGCGGATCTCCCGGCTGGTCCAGGAAGGGGCCGCGGTCTGGGAGTGCAAAGGCGCGGGAGGGTTGGGATGGCGGGTTATGGGATGGAGGGGGTTCGATACGAGGGGTGGCGCCTGGGCGGGGATGAAAAAAAAACATGACGAAAAGGGGAGAAATGGGCCCAGGAGGAGCTGCATCATCGGTGTCAGCGTCACCAGGACGAGGGAGGTGGGGGGGGCAGAAGGAGGGGGGATGACCTTCACTGGGGCGTAAAGGATGGGAAGAGGGCGGGCATGTGGACGATGGGGGAACTCATCCGGCGGAGGAGGACGACGAGGAACGACATGGGGGGTTGACGATGTGGGTGAGGGGCATGATGGGGGCTGGGGGCAGTCGGGGGGGGGCATGAGGAGGGTGGGGCCAAAGCGAATGGATATTGGGATGAGGCGGGGGGATGAGGCGGGCGCCAGCTAACGCTTAGCTGGGCCGTGTTCTGCGTGTCCGCGCGCCCCAAAAAATGATTGATCGGTCGCTGAATTGCATGATTTGTGATCTCGTGCGCGACGTGCTTCCAGGCCAAAAGTTCGAGTCCACGACGGTCGTTGGCATCGCGTTGATGCCGCCCCGCTGTGACAGACCGCATATGCACAGATCGGCAGCATCTGTGTTTCAACGTTTGATTCATGACCCTCTCTATAGTAGCGTGCCCGTGTTGGAATCCACATTCTTGTGGCTATGCCTATGCCTACGCCTATCTCTTCCTTTTTTTCCAATGGCCCCCTTTATGTATGCTTGCTTGCGCGCTAGTTTGCTTGCTTATTTGCTTGCTTGTTTGCTTGCTTACTTGCTTGCGCGCTTGTGCGGTTGTTTGCTTGCTTGCGCGCTTGCGCGCTTGCTTGCACGCTTGATCGATTGCATTGTTGAGCTGTAGATCCCAAGCGTGTGCGATTCTTTTGATTCCTTGAACCGAGTCATCGAATCCATTTGGATGGAGTCACCGCCGGCTGATAGTTGCTTATTGTTTAACTATGTATTGGCTACGTGTCATGTGTCTTTCCAAATCCCGCTGTAAAAAGGACGTGCCCGACCTAAATTCGGGAGTGGTTGTCAGTTGGGTATCCCCGAGACGGCGGAGATGTGTCAGGTCTGGTGGTGCCGGAGATGCTCCTGGCCGAAAGTGTCCCGGCTTGTCGCGCCACTTGGACGCCCCCCGGGGCCTCGGGGCCTCGCGAGGGATGTTCGGGAGGCCCCGGGGGTTTCAATGGTAATCTTGAGTCGGGCTTGTCCCTCTACATGGGGGAATATTCGAACATAGTTTATACATAAGCAGGGGACATGTTTTTACACCTGTTCCAATTTTTTGGGGCATGTATGGAACAGTTTCAAGTGTCCGTCCAAAGTCCCCGTGTGGGGGACGTGCTCGACCCAACGGTAATCCGGGGAACATATTGGGCCAGGGACACCTTCGGCAACGCCCGATCAAGATTGACTGATCCACGCGGTGCCAGAAACTGAAACCTGCGGCGCGGTTGCGGGCGACCGCCGTAGCTGGCCACCCGCAACCGCACCCCCGCAGCCTGATGCAGCGGAGGGCTGCGTGGTGGCCCCGGCATCAGTGGTTGACAAGCCGCCCCCGCCCCGAAGCCTCAGAGCCCGCAGACGACCTCGAGGACTCGCGGCGGGGGTGGTCGGGTTTGACCAGCCAGGCCGCAATTGCCAGCCTGACGATCGGCATCATCATCGGGTCCAACAAGGCGCAAGATGTGCACTCGATGCTCGAGGAATTCGCTTGGGCCACCAAGTTGCTGATCGCTCTCGGGGTCGGCCTGCTGATCATCGGCTCTCTGGGGCTCCTGGGCAGCACCCGGCACGGTGCGTCACTGCAGTTCCGACGGTGCGTGCTGTTTCCTTTCTTTTTCGCGAACCTCATCATGTTGGTGCTCTTCGTTTCTGTGACCACGGGAGCCCGGACCGCAAACAAGGACACGATCGAGGCAAAGCTCGAGATGCAGTGCCTCAAGGATAACAACCATCTCCGTGAGGCACTCCACTGCGAGCAGGACGAGGATGGCGATTGGCATGTGCCCGATGAGTTGCTCAGCTACCTCGACTACCTGCACTGGGTGTCGGTCGCGGGTTTCGGGATTTCGGGCCTCCTGATGGTGAACCTGACCGCCTCCTTCCTGGCCGCGACGGCGAGAAACGCGGACGGCGATGACGACGACAGCGTCGAGCTCGCGGACAGGCCTCCTCCTTCTCCCCCTCCTTTCCTCTCCGGTCGGACGATTGGGGTTGTTACGGGATCTGTTCCATGCAGTTGGTTTCGGCCTCGCCATCTTTCGCTGTCCTCGATGCATGGGCGCCCTTGGCGCAGGGAGGCACCCGGAAAACCCGTTGCGTGAGCTGGTTCGCTAAGCACTCCTTTATTCCTCCCCTTTCGTGCAACCCGTTCTTCCCGGCCTCCTCCTACTCCTTCATCATCACCAGCATGTATCTGAAGCTGGTGGACACGGACATCCAGTACTACTCACTTTACTGCTGGACGACCATACCACCACGCTACCGCAGACCAATCATGCTGTGCGACACTTGCAGCGTGAGTGACAGCACGCTAGGTGCACACCTGAACTTACCCATCATCCATATTTATTTCCCATGGCCACCATGCACAAGCATTTCCGACCCTCTAGCTGAGCACGGACCGATCTGAGGAGGCCAGCATGAATCTCAGGACCCACTTAGCTGGATGTTCACGTGCGTTGGCCGCGCGGGGGTGGCGAGTACACGCAGTGCACACTCGAGCGGGGCCCTTGGCGCGCCACCCTGGTGGCGCGATACCCTCGTCGGATACTGAGCTTACTCGCTGCGCGACGTGAGCTGTGACGAGCTGCGGATCATCTACAGTCGGACCGAGGCATAAGACCGAGGTCGGTTCGGGGAGGGTGCCCTCATGTTCTTCGTGCCTGTTGGATGTTTGTGTGCATGCCAGGGGATGGCACCCTCGAATGTTCTTAGGGTGTGGGGTGCTTTTGCCGGCGGAGGGTCCCATGTTTTTTTGAAGGATATTTGTCTGACCTAGGTCCGACTGTATCCCTTCCTGCTCCTGTCGGACGGGCACCAGCACCAACGAAACCAACAAGCGCACGGCCAGCTTCGAGACAGACCTCGAGACCTGCTCCTCCGGCGGCGGCGGCGACTTACGCACACCGCCTGTAGCTTCGGCCCTTGCATTTCCTGCGCTACCGCAGCCTCCACCACCTGATGGCAAGCACGGCGAAGACGTCCGCGATCGAGTAGGCATGCCCGCCGAGACGAGCTGAGTTGGGCCTCCTCCCAGGTCTCCACAGGCTCTTGAAACGGCGCGAAAGACGCCGCGGATAGAGCGCCACCACATGTCAAGCCTCGCATGGCCGCGCTGCACCCCCGCCCCGCCAACATCGCCCCGCCAACAGCAAGCAGACGCGGACGCCGAATGGGCCGAGGGCGGGGGCGGGGCTTGCGAGGACCACGGCAAGAAGAAACCACGGAACGCAGATGGGGGAGCACCCCGACAAGAATTGGTCGAGGAAGGGCGAGAATTTACCCAGCCTCCTGCGAGCGACAATCGACTTAGCATTCCAGGCGGCGCACAAGAACCGCTTGGCATCATTAGCGTCGATCGGCAGCTATACTATGTCCAGCAAGCATAACATGGTCAATGCGATCGCGGCTGAGCTCGGGGGCTATAAAAACACGTTGGCAACTCTCCGGTGTGGAGGACCCGAGGAGAAGGCTAGGACTAACTAAGGAGATCGGCTACCCAGCAGCCAGCCTTTGGCGGAACGGTCTTGGAGTGCCTCAGCAAGCAGTGCGACGTCGGCGGAACAGTTATGACCGACCTGAAGAACTGCCTGCTGCGAGGTCAACGCGGGAGAACGAGCTCACGAAACCCGACGTGTGCCGGGACGAATTCGAGCTCGTGCTCCGTTTCGTTCGCCTGGAGAGTTTTTGCGGTAAGGAGAAGATGGAAGTCGTCGTTGACGCGCCGGGCGTTGCGCGCTCCGCCGGGAAGGCCGCGGGCGGCGGGCTGGTCCAGCGGGCGATCTCGGCAGAGGGGGGCACCCTTGGCCATCGCGGAGAAGCGCCGCCAGGCCGGCTCGAGGATGTTGTGGGCCACTGGCTGAAGAGTCCCGCCGACGAATCATCTCAGTCGAGCAGTGGCGAAGCGTCGCGGCTCGCCTATAGCCCTGCCAAACAATGTTCTAAGAACTTTTTGTGGTTTCCACGACATGTTCTTAGAACATTTCTGGCTGGGATTGTCTTGGTTTGACACAAATGTTCTAAGAATGCTGTTTTTGTTCTCGAAGCATTTTTGGGTTCTCAGAACATGTTGTGGTAGGACTATAGGATTGCCGGGACGGTCGACCCCTTCTCAAGGATCATCTCAGGGGTTGCCAGTCGACCTGCGATCACATATCGTTCGAGATAAGGTCTTGCGTGGCACAGGCTTTCCTGGTGCTTCTGCCGCGCCCGTCAGCACGTGTGCGAACCAGCCAACGCTTGCACTGCTGTGGGAGCCCATCCCAAGGAACACCCTGCTTGCCTCCGGGGTGCCCTGAGCTGCTTGGGTTTCGATGGTTTTGCCATGGAAGGCGTGACGTTCCCGCACCAACAATCCGTGGACGTCCTGAGGTTTCGGGTGATCGTTTTTTTTTCTTCCTTGTTTTGCCGTTCGCGCGGGCCTTCGCCCCCCCCCCCCCCCCCACTGCCCCCCTGCCATGGAGTAGATCTTGGCTGTTTTTTTTTGGCGCCTGCCTCGAGCGGGTGGAGTCTCCCCCAGCAGAGGCGCTGCTGCAACCAACCGCACCATAGCAGAGGCCTGGAGCCGGACCCCCCGCCACCGTCCGCCCAGTGTCGAAGAAACGCCGAGAAAGCAAAAACTCCCACCAGGGTTGGGGTTTCGTGCGAAAGGTTTCTCGTGGACTGGCCTCCCCTGTAGTTCAGGGGGGGGGAAAAAACACACAGACACCATTCATCGGCGATTCCGCAGAAAATATATGGGAAACTATGGGAAGGGGGGGGGGACGACAAAAACCCAGAACAGATGGGAAACTATGGGGCATAGTTTTATTTGTGTATGTTTATTTGTGTGTCCCAGGGCCCCTTCAGTAGTGCCTCTGCCCTGGCTGCCAGCACGAATGCGAACCAGCCAGCGCCTGCAATCAGCGGAGCTGCCCGTGCAGTCGCCCCGCCCCGTCGGCTTTGACAGTGGCATGCCGGGAACGCCATGACAGCGCGCTTCTTCCCGGGAAGGGGCCCAGACACACACCACACACTCAAACACAACACACAAACACAACACACGCACAAACACAAACACAAACACACACGCACACGCACACGCACACGCACACGCACACGCACGCACGCACGCACGCGCACGCACACGCACACGCACACGCACACGCGCACGCACGCACGCACGCACGCACACACACACACAAACAAACACCTACACCTACACCTACACCTACACCTACACCTACACCTACACCTACTCCTACACCTACACCTACACCTGCACCTACACCTACACCTACACCTACACCTACACCTACACACAAACCTACACACAAACCTACACACAAACCTACACACAAACCTACACACAAACCTACACACAAACACACACACAAACACGCACACAAACACAAACACAAACACAAACACAAACACAAACACAAACACAAACACAAACACAAACACACACAAACACAACCACACACAGAGATACACACATCTCAAGATTCCCTATATTTTTGGTGTTTTGTTGATTTTCGTCTCCCCTCCCCACTTTTCATATTTTCCATTATTTTTTGGGGGATCGACGATGAATTGTGTCTGTGCGTTTTTTCCCCTCTTGATTCTCGGGATGCTGCCTATTGGTCCGTCCGCCATCGCTTGCAGGCAGCGCCAGACCTTAGTGGGCCCCGGAAACGGCAGGGCTGTTTTTTCACCGTTTCCAAAAAAATGCCCCTTGAAAACGGAAACGGCAAAACAACGGCGACGAGAAACGGCAAACAAATGGCTCCAGGATTGGAACCGGAGCCGGAACCGGTAAAAAAACGGCGACGGAACCAGTAAAAAAACGGCGTGGGAACCAGCAGAACAACGGCAAACCGAACCGGTAAAAAAAACGGCCCTGTCGTTTCCAGGGCCCACTAAGCGCCAGACTGTGCAGCACCCTGCAGGCGCCACCACCCCCAGTGCGGAATCCCGAGAGGCACAGTTCTGCGATGTGCGTTCGAGTTTGTTCTCGGAGATATTCGACATCTTTCTTGGCCTTGACGTCGAGGACGAACTTCGCCTTCATGATCACTCGGGCCGGACGAAAGGGGGGATTGGGAAAGGGGGGTACGAAATCTGATGCATGCAGTCGGTTTCGGCCCCACCGAGGGGCCCATTCCTTGATACATAGCCGCCTCCCGCGCTGGGAGGCGCCGGGAAAATCAGCTACGTGAGCTGATTCTCAACCCCCCCCTTTGTTATCCCCCCCTTTCGCCTGGCCCGAATCCCGCTCATCATGGCCACCGTGACCAACATCGTGCTCGCCACCATCATCATCGTCATCACCATCATCACCATCATCATCATCATCATCATCATCATCATCATTATCATCATCATCATCATGATCATGATCATGATCATGATCATGATGATGATCATCATCATCATCATCAGCAACATCAGCATCAGCATCAGCATCAGCAGCATCATCACCATCCCCATCATCAACATTATCATCATCATTGTCGCCATTATCGTCACAAACGTCACAGCCATTGGCGCCATCGTTATCAGCACCGTCATCGTCACCAACATCGTCGTCATCGTCATCATCAGCCGTATCATGACCATCGCCACGACACTCGCCACCGTCATCTTGCACCTCCTCTTTCTTTTTTTCTCCCCTTATCGGGAGGCCCCTCCTGACCAGCAGGCGGGGCACGGTGTATTGGAGCTCTGCATTGCCTTCCTCCGTCGCTCCTCCTGCCCTTTCTCCCTTCACCCCCGCCCCGTCCTCACCTTCCTCCTGCTCCTCACTGTCATCGCCCTCCTCATCCAGCCTCCACCCTCCGCCTCCTTCTCCTCCTCCTCCTCCACCAGCCTCCTCTTCCTGCTCCTGTTCTTGCTCCTCCTCCTTCCTCCTCCTCCTCCTCCCTCCTCCCTCCTCCCTCCTCCCTCCTCCCTTCCTCCCTTCTCCCTTCTCCCTTCTCCCTCCTCCCTCCTCCCTCCTCCCTCTTCCTCGTCTCTTCCCCTTCCTTCCGTTTTTTTTTTTTTGTTTTTCTTTCTTTCTCTCTCTCTCTCTCTCTTTCCCTCCATCCTCGTCGTCCTCCGCTCCCTCCTCCCCCCCGCCCTGTCGCCCATCAGCCCCAGGCCATTCAACGGTATGGCCCGCGCCGCGGTCTAGCCCTCGCCCGGGCCGGCTGCGCTGGGCGGCCTCGCGCGGCCGCGTGGCGCCCTCGCGCTCGACCGCGGACCCGCCCCGCTGCCGGCCGGGCGCGCGGCGCGCAGCGAGTCTCCGCGCCTGCCGAAGAGACTCAGCGGCGCCCCGTCGTCGCCAAAGTCGCCGCTGGCCGCCGTCGTCGTCGGCTTCCTCCTCCTCCTCCTCCTCCTCGCCCTCCTCCTACTCCTCGTCCTTCTCCTCCTCGTCCTCCTCGTACCTATGGCAGCGGTTTCGGAAAATGAGCCCACCAGGCCTGCTCCACCCAGCCTTCGACGCAGCTCTCGTCGCTGGGGGCCCACTGCTGGCCCTTGCTGCTCGGCGGCCTGCAGGAGAGGCCCTCGGCCATCTCGCTGGCCCACTGGCCAGCTCCCGAGTCGGGCCGCGGGTGGTGTCGAAGGGTCGCGCCGCATCGCCGAGGCATGGCGCGACCCGCCGATACCATGCGGTGGGGCCCCATCTTCCACCTGGAGTGTCATGATAAACGTGTTGCAGACGTAGAGTCAATCGGAGGAATAATATTAGGATGAACAGGACGACGAGGAGGGGGAGGAGGAGGAGGAGGAGGAGGAGGAGGAGGAGGAGGAGGAGGAGGAAGAGGGGGAGGAGGAGGAGGAGGAGGACGAGGACGAGGAGAAGGAAGAGGAGGATCAGTTAGAATGTTGCGTTGCGATTGGGTGGGGAGGGCTTACTTGTATCGGTCAGACGGATGTCATTACAGATGCCGCTTGCTTCAAGTGACCAAGCCGTGCACCGTCAGTGCACTGCTGTGTAACATACATACTCAAACCGTTCTCGTGCAACTCCTCGGGAATTTGCATGGCATCGGAGCGATGTCGATAGCGGCTCCGGCGGCAGCAATAGCAGCTTCCGCACATCCAACAACCCGTCCCTTGAGGTACAAACGCCCCAAGATCGCGATCTGTGGATCAACCTGAACACCAACAACATGCAGTGATTTATGTGAAGCGGCTTAGTATGGAGACAGCTACAGCTTTTTAGCAGTGAGCCAATCGCGAAGGAATAGGAGAGTATAGACAGGCAGACGGCAGCAAGAGTCCCAATTGTCACAATTGAGGAGGGCTTTGAATTATCTCGCATGTTTCAGAAAATGAAATATGTTTGTGTTTTTTCTCTCTCGCCTTTTCTCTTTTATGAAGCATCGTCGGCCGCAGCATGTACGCAGAGGGAGAGGCCAACCCGCCGCAGTTCAGAATGGAAAATTTGCAGGAGCAGACGTGCGCACAAAAGAACACAATAGACCAGGTCACCAAGATCGCCGAACCGGTTGCAGAATGCGAAAATAATACAAGAAGAGGACCCGAACCCGTCAACGAATACAAGGCCACGCAGCTGTTGAATACGTCCGCGGGCGCGGGTGGAGTGGACATATGAGATGACAGGTTGGGTGGAGTGGAACCCAGTGGACTGCGCGCGCATCATTCCATATACAATGGTATTCCACAGTTTCCCGAGTTCCCGTGCGTGCCGAAATTCGCCCGGCCATTCGCCCGGCCACGGCTGTGGCAACCTGACTAGGTTGCCACAGAAGTAAACAGTGGGTGGTGCTGGCGGATACCCCGGAGAATTGGAGCCCAGCTCATTCGTTAAATCTGAAGTTCAGAGTCATAGAGTTGCCAACCGTCGTGGCTCATGCAAGCGCTTGATCCGAGGATTGGTTCCAAGAGGGCTTCAAGACTCGTGATTCGCTCGCGCGGAAACATATCAGTGGACAATGCACGGTGATATGTAAGTGTAGGAGTTGGGCATGCAAGAAAATGTGAGATACTGACAGCCGGACCTTGTTGCCACGGACATCGGGGGCGTGGGCGGGGCCGAGAGAAGCATGGTATAACTGGGGATGCGCGTGAAGGCCAGAACGTGGAAGGCCCCGTCGACGACGACGGCCAGTGGCGGACATCATGCCAGCCGGGGGCAAGAGAGAGAGAGAGAGAGAGAGAGAGAGAGAGAGAAAGAGAGAGAGAGAGGGAGAGAGACAGAGAGAGAGAGAGAATTCAGAAGGCGAAGGTGTGGGCACCGTTAACAGTGGCACGGGAGAAGTTGGAAGGGGCTCAAATATGATTTGCGTCCTCATTCCAGATGCATTGCCGCAAATTGCAGGAGAGGGCGAGGTAATGGCCGCAAAAGCACTGGCGGGTTTGAAGACTGGAAAGCTGACGCGCGGGCAATGCGCCAAAAAAGGAAGGAAGCGGGATAGTTGCGGCAGCCACGGCGGCCCAGGGCCAGGGGGATGGAGAGAAGAAGGGTTTGCCCATGTAAACGGTCGGGTTCGTTACCGGCGCGGAAACGGAGCACGTCGTTGATCATTGGGCAGGAAAAGAACGAACTAATGGGAGCAGTCGCGGCCAGAGCTGGAGAAATGCGGGGTCTCAGCCGGGGCGCGAAGCGTCTCATTGGGGCAGTCAATGCCGGGATGTCACGGGGTGGATGCGCCGTGCGATCCACCTGGGCGAGGCGGGTGGGCTCGGCAGGACTGGGAAATGAAGAATTACCGCAGAATGATACAGCCCGTTTTAGTCGGTTAATCCAAAGAGGAGAGCGCGCGCTACGCGCAATCTGCGGCGACATCAGCGGTTGGCAATCCCGAGCGCGCACGGGCGTGCAGGCGGAGTCGCGCTTTCAACAGCCATGCGCGGAAGCGTGCTTAGGGGGGGTTCCCGGCGCTAGCGCCCCCGCGAGGGAAATGCCGGGGCCGCGCGGGGCAGAGCTCGTCACTCTGGAATCGGGCGCTCGCAATATTGCGCGCCCTCCGAAGGCGGGGGGCGCGTCTCGGCGGCGCCCGCGGAAGCGTCGCGAGCAGCCAAGCGTTATTGCGCAGCCGACGCGGCAGTCACCAGGAAGTCTGGGCAGAGGACCGCGAGTGGGAGAACGAGGAGCGCGACAGAGTATGCCCGCGCAGGTGGCAGACGATATGAAGGCGTTTGGCTTTGCCCGGGAATGGTCGAGGCGGGCAATCGAACCGCGCCCGGCCGCGACGCGACGGGGCGCCCCTGCTGCAGCGCGGAGCGCAACGTAACCGGGCGGCCGCGACGGGGGGGCCCCCGAGAGGGGCGGCGCGCTCCAGTTTGACGCTCGCGCGCTCGCGGGATCGGGGTCCGGGCCCTGGCAAGACAGCTGGGGGAGTTGCAGATATGGGGGGTTCTCCGAGGCGCAGCGGAGGTTCGATTGAATTCGCCGACGCCCGGAGCAAACATTCGCCGCCCCGGGGGCGGGCGGCGGGGGGGGGGCAGATGGGGGGGGCGGGGCCGGGGAGTACAGCGACGTAGAAGGCGCGCTCGTAACGCGGGGGGCGGAGGCGCCCGTGGAAGCGCGCCTCGAATCAAGACGCAACCAGTGAGAAATATGCGCCCCCAATACAACGCATCTCCTTCATCGAAGTTGGCGCCCTCGCTGCGTCGAGGGGAAGGCTCGGGGGGGGGGGGGGGGGGGCGCGGGGGCGCGGGGGCCAAGCGCTGGGTTGCTCGTCATCTCCGTTGACTACAGGCGGTCGAAACGACAGAGAGGTCGGAGAGGGGGCGGGGGGGGGGGCGAGGGGAATGCAGCCTCCGCGGCGCGTTCCAATGACGCCGCGTTGTCTTCGAGTAGAGTTGGTGCTCCAGCGCAGGGGGGAGGGGTGCGCTTGGTCGCGGCGACGACGGATGCGACCGCGCGCGCAGGGCGCAGAGGGCGCGCGGTGATGCCGCGGGGGGGCGGCGGGGGGGGCGTCGGAGACCCGCGAGCCAGCGGCGAAACTGAGATTGTTTTTTTTATAGCGGTGCAGGGGCGCGCCAGGGCGGCGAAGCGCGCGCGCCGCGCGCGCAGCCAGAATGGTTGCGCGCATCGCGTTCTCATCCCCTCATTGGCGTCGCGCGCGTCATCGGCGTCGGACGCGCTTGTGCCGGGGGTGGATGGGGGGCCGCGCGCGTTCGGCGCAGGGATGGACCTTCCGCGGGCAGTTGCCGGACCTGGGGGGGGGGGGGGGGCGTCGTGCACCTCGTGACTCAGAACAGGGATGTTGGCCGCAGTCTCGAGAGTCGATGGGCAAGCGGTGCGTCCTGCGGCTCGGCGGCGTCGGCCAGCGCGCCTCGCGGGCGGCTGGGCCCCGGGCGGGTGCGAAGACAGGCGGGCGAGGCAGAGATGTGGGACGTGGAAATGGTGGCGATCATGATCTGGTCTGCCTCGGCAGCGGGGCCCCAGCGCCGCGGAGCGCGAAGTCAAATCAGGGGGCGCGTCCATTTCGGGGGGGCCGGATAGCGGCAGCAGCGTCGTCGCGAGATTGGCCAGGGGGGCGGCCGCGAACGTCGTTTTAACGCAGCCACAGAGAGGGCCCACGCCGAGATTAGATGGCTGCAAGGCCATGGTTAGATATGAGGCACCAACGACAAACCGCGCGGCGCCGACTGTCGCACGCGCGCCATCGAATGGTTAAAGCGCTGGCCGATCCCAACGTTCCAGGGCCGCTGGCCTCAGCTCTGCCTAGACTGGAACCGCCGACCCAAGAAGAGGTAAGCGTCACACCTGGCAAGAGAGGGCGCGTTCCCGAGTGCACAGATGCGGACTTCTGGGAGCCAGGGAGCCATGGGGCAGCGCCGGATACCGAGCACACGCGCGCGCGTTCCCAATCGGCGCCCGCCGAACAGCACCAGGTGGTAAACGCATCGAAACGGTGTGAACGCGTCTGTGAAAGGACATGCTGCAATGCGAGAAGCTCGCGATTAGTGGAAGGAAACTGGAGAACAAGAGTTAGGGGAGGAACGTGCAGGATGGATTGAACTTGATTCCGAGGAGGAAGACTTGTCTGATGAGATGCTGCGCTTCCAACCCCAGGCGCAGCGTCATCGACGACGCCGGCGGCAAAGGTAGCGAGCGGCCGCGAGCGGGGGCGCCGGCCCGGAGGACGTACCCGTCGGAAGAATTGGGGCGCAAGAGACGGGGGTCAATGCAGACGGGGGTCAGCTAGGGGACCAGATCCCGCGGGACCGTGCGAAGGCGCCCTCTGGCTGACCCGGATATTAGCGAGCCGCTCGTGGCCGCGAGGCGGCCGCGCATATTGGCTGACCCGGGTTTGCGAAGGTTTGCGTTGCTATTTTGTGGTCCTGCATTGTAGTTTTTTTTTGGTTTCCTGCTGACCCGCGTCTGGATGGGCCCGGGCCAGGAGATCCCCGAAAGAAATTTGCAGGCGGGCTGGGCGACGAGGCGCTCGGAGAAATCAAGCTGGGCTTGCAGGTCACGCGCGTCAGTGGAGCTCTCAGCGATCGGCTCATGCATTGGGAGACGCATCCCAGGGCCGGCGATTAATTTAGCAGTGCAGCCCGGCTGCGTGGGAAAGGGCAGCGTGGAATGCAAGCGCGCGTAACTGATGCGTTTTCTTTGTCGGAGCATATGGCGTGGCTGGCAAAATGAGATTGGCACGCGGGATAGATGTGGATGTGATTGCGCGGGGCGAACGCGGCGCCCCGTTGGATTTCAACAGCGGGGCCCTGGGAAAGAACGCCGAACGGATAGTTGAAATA